GGACCAGGGCAGCAGCAAGGCAGGCTGGGAAGCTGCTGCACCGCGCAGACCTGCGCCTGGGCCGCCCGCTGCTGGCGACGCTGGCGCTGCTGGCCGTGCTCGACTGGCTGTGCCAGTGCCTGCTGCCCCCGCTGGCCGCACTCGCCGTGTTGGCCGCCGCCGGCTGGATCGCGTTGTCCCGCCTGGAGCGCCCGCCGCGCCTGCCCGTGGCCACTCGCGCGGTGCTCATCACCGGTGAGTGCGCGGAGCCGCGGGGTCTCCAGGTTCAAGGGACTCGGTGCCCAGAGGCCTCCCCTGAGCTCCGGTTCAGAGGAGTTCCCCAGCGCACGCGTGGGAACGTCCCCTCCCCAGGGTGCAGGGAGCGAGCCAAGTAGGAAGCGCCTGGCACCTCCCCAAGGCCAGGTTCCTACCTGCGACTGAGGGGAGCGTTGAAGGGAACGTGAGCAAGGGAGTGAGCCGAGGTAAGGGGAGCCTCGTGGCCTTCGGGTTTATGCCATTTCCCTCCCCAGAGAGCATTCTCAGGGGGCGGGGACAGCACTCCAGGGACTTGAGAGGGTTCGGGAAGGACTGGGCCAGACGTGCCCACATGGAATACCCCACCTCCTGCCTCTGGGCCGGAGCTCTGTCCTGTGGGGAGCTTGCACACCTCTTGGCTGGGATCCCCAAGGTCCAGGGAAACTTGAGGTCACCATGAGGCAGAGCTGGGCATTCACCATCTCTCAGGTCCTGCCATGACCCCTTTCCAAACGGCTGAGGAAGTGGCCCAGAGTCTGCACCCAGCTCGCCTCCCACCCCCTCCTGGCCCTCAGGAGGTCTGGGGGAGCCAGGCTCAGGTGCCTCAGGGCACCGCCTGGCTGAACTCCCTTTGTCTGGAGTGGGGAATAAATCTGTCACCAGATTGAGAGTGGGGAAGGGGGGCTGGAGGCCCAGCTGGAAGTGGGGAGTAGGGGAGAAGGGCCAGGGGTTTCCTTTCAGGGGGCACTAGCTCCATTGCCTCGGGGGGAGGGGCAGGCTAGTCTCTCCTCCAACCCCCATGGCTTTGGTCAGGTGTTCAGCAAAGGGACTTCTCAGACACCTCTGTCCAGTAAGGACCTCGTATGACTGACTGGGAGATGAGGGCCCTGTCGAGAATTTTCCAGTCAGATCCAGCGGAGATGGTGGTGAGAGGGGTGGGGAAGGTGTCTTGGATCCCAGGAAGGAGATGGGATGGAGTGGGAGGCCCAGGTCGCTGAGTGTGGCTTAGGTGGGGGGTAATTTGTTCACCAGCCTGGCTGTGGGCCTGTGATGGGATGGGAGGTTGTTTCCAGGGAAGGGCCCTTGAGTGTCAGGTATGAAGTCAGACTCTGCGGAGGCCACAGGGCCTGTGAGGACTTTGGACTTCAGCAAAGAAGGTGGCTGTGAATACAGGATGAAGACACCCAGACTCAGGTTGCAGCATGAAGCTCGCTCAGGGGACCCCATTCTGAGGGCTCTTCTGAGTCTCTGAGTCGGGGACTAGGCTGTGGGCTCCTGGTGGCTCTTTTGTGGGCAGCCTCAACAGGGCCCAGCAGGAGCCGCCGCCATCTGAAAATCTCACCTGAGGTTTCCTTACTACTGCTGCTCCTTAGCTTGGGGAGAAGGGATAATTCTAAAGGTTGGGCTCCCCCATCTGCCACCCACAAAGCCTAGAGATGACATGGGGGCCTGCCAGCCCATCGCTGGCTAAGCAAGCAGACTGAGCCCCTGAGCTTCTCCGTGTCTGAGAACGCTGGGGTTTTATCTCACCACCTGGCTGCAGGACAAGTAGGTGACCAGGGCTTAGCCCACCTGCCAAGAGCACTGTGTCCCATACCCCCCAGAGATGTGCCCCCCCCCCATGCTTGTCTACACAGCTGACTCAGCCCTGGGAACCAGGCTTGGGGTGAGTGACTGGGTTTGCACCCACTCGGACATGTGTGCTGAGGAGCTGGTGTGTGAATGTCCTGGCAGGCTGGAGGTATGTCCTAGCATCTGAGGGTACTAGTGTAAGAGTGTGCAAGCTGTGGGTGAACAGTGTCTGGGCTGAGGCCTGGGAGGCCCTGGCTGTTTTGGGAGGAAGCTGAGGCAAGTGGAACACACACACACACACACACAGCCCTGTGAACACATCCCAGCCTGCAGCCCCCAGCCCAGTTTTGTTCTGGCCTCTGCAGAGGGGGCGGGGCTGAGAGGTGCAAGCTACCCAGGAGAGGGGATGCAGAGCAGAGGCTGTGCTGCTTCTGCTCAGCCGGACCACCAGGACAGACGCCTGGCTCTCCCCCTCCTCCCTGCCGGCCTCCCACGGAGCCCAGATCAGAGAGAGACCCAGTGAGAAAGCAGGCACTTATCAGGTACCACTCACCACTGACCCCACACTGGCTGGGCCTGCTGGTTCCCCTCCCTCCTCACCCAAGACCGGAAATGAGGGCTCCAAGAGCCGTAACTGACCTCAGGTCACGCTTGGTGTGTGTAGGAAGGCACTCAAATGCTAGTGTGTTCTTTTACGCCTCCATCATGGTCCCTGTCCCAGGGGCAAGTGACTGAGGGCTCACAGAAGGCCTTTACTGTCATCATGGATTGAAATTCCAAGGGCAGGGGACAGGGTCGAGGTGGGGGCGGGCCTCCAGCTAGCCTGCCCTCTGCCCCGATGTTGAAGCTGGGTAGGCAGTGGGGATGGGGGAGAGAGGAGCCTTGGAGCTGTCTTAAGCAGCAGAGCGAGGTTGTCATTTTTGGAAAGGTCCTTGAGCTGGCTGTAGGTAGAGAGAACAGATCCAACATGGTAAGATGAGACGGGATGGGGGACTGGGGCGGGGGGTGGATTCAACTGTCCGTCCTCCGGGATGGAAGGAAGGAAGAGCAGCTTGGATGGACCAGGGCAGCAGCAAGGCAGGCTGGGAAGCTGTGTGCTTGGGTTTGCTGGCCTGGGCTAGAGGCCTGGCCCAAGGCCGACCTGGGCTAGAGCCCTGACTGAGAAGCTGCTTTACCATGCTGGGTCTCGGGGTCATGCTTGCTGTGGACGCCATGGGGGTCAGGGAGATGACGACTGACTGTGAAGGAGCTGGTCTGAGAGGTGCCCAGCCAAGGGGTGCAGGGGCCCAGGAAGTAGGGATGGCTGTCAGCTGCTCCTGAGCTGGGTGTCCACTGGTTGGCCTGGGCCACAGGAGGCGCTGACAGGCTCTCCTACCCTGGCCAGGTTGTGACACTGGCTTTGGCAAGGAGACGGCCAAGCAACTGGACATTATGGGCTTCACGGTACTAGCCACTGTGTTGGACTTGGAGAGCCCCGGGGCCCTGGAGCTACGAGCTTGCTGTTCCCCACGCCTGAAGCTGCTGCAGATGGACCTGACCAAGCCGGAGGACATTGGCCGTGTTCTAGAGTTCACCAAGGCCCACACCTCTAGTTCAGGTCAGTGAGTGGGGCCGTAGGGAGAGGGGGTGGCCAGGTGAGACCAATAGAGGTGGGTGGGTTTGAAGAGGGGGGGGTCAGGGACTGACCTGAAGCCCTCCTCGCTGCCCTCTCTGCCTTCAGGCCTGTGGGGCCTCGTCAACAATGCGGGTTACAATGACGTTGTGGCCGATGCGGAGTTGTCGCCAGTGGACACCTTCCGCAGCTGCATGGAAATCAACTTCTTCGGGGCCCTGGAGCTAACCAAGGGCCTCCTTCCACTGCTACGCCGCTCTAGGGGTCGTCTGGTGACGCTGGGCAGTCCGGCTGGTGAGTCTCCAAGCCCCCTTGCCCACCCCCCACCCCTTGCTGGAAGGTGCAGGGAGCTGTAGGTTTGGCAGGCCTTCCAGGGAGCCTCTGGCCCAGCCCAAACTGTTACTCTGCCCCCACCCCTCAGGGGACATGCCGTACCCGTGCCTGGGGGCCTATGGGACATCCAAGGCGGCCATGGTACTGCTCATGGACACCTTCAGCTGCGAGCTCCTGCCCTGGGGTGTCAAAGTCAGCGTCATCCAACCAGGTTGCTTCAAGACAGGTAGGGGTGGGGGCTGGGCTCCAGACTCGGACTCGGGCAGGGCCAGCCAGGTAAGGCAGGCTGCCAAGGTTGGGTCAATAATAGAAGTTTTAGTGGGGCCCTAAAACTGGGCGCCCCGGTGTCATATTGGCCGTTCCATGGGAAAAAAATGAGACTTTCTGTTCCTGTAAGCATTTACAGTTTCAGCCTTAGAAACCCACAGGGGCAGTTTTACCCTGTTCTATAGGGTCATGTGCGTCTGAATAAACTCAACTGCAGCGAGTTTGGGAAGTTGGTTTTTTTTAAAGACAAGGATCAGACCTTGGAGAATGGTCTACATGTGTCGTAGGTAGAGGCATCAAAAAAGACGACGACCTTGAAGGAGCTGGGATTGACAGTGGCTGCGGTCGGTCATGGCTGAAACACAGCACTGGTGCAGGCCAGGCAGTGTTTGGTCGGTTCTGTCTATACAGGAGTCACTATGAATAGTAACCCCAGGCCTCCTAACAACAAACCAGCCCACTACCATCAAGCCAGTTCTGACGCATAGCCACCCCAAAATGGGTTTCCGGACGGTAGATCTTTAGGGGAGCAGACAGCCCTATCTTAGTCCCATGGGACAGCTGTGGGATTTGGACCACCGACCTCGCAGTTCGCAGACCAACAACCAACCCACTAGGGCCGAGGAAAAGAAGGGTGAGGGGCACCATTTTACCCAGGGGCGGGGTCAGAGCTGAGAAACGGGGCGTGGCGCGGGCTGGAGGCGTGGCCTGACCATCCCTCTCCTGCCCCAGAGTCTGTGCTGAATGAGGGTCGCTGGGAGCAGCGCAAACAGCTGCTGCTGAATAACCTGCCCCGAGAGCTGCTGCAGGCCTACGGCAAGGACTACATCGAGCACGCGCACGTGCAATTCCTACATTCGCTCCGCCTGGCGCTCCCGGACCTCAGCCCCGTGGTAGACGCCATCATCGACGCGCTGCTGGCCGCCCAGCCGCGCCGCCGCTATTACCCGGGCCGGGGCGTGGGGCTCATGTACTTTATCCATCACTACCTGCCGGAGGGCCTGAGGCGCCGCTTCCTGCAGAACTTCTTCATCAGTCCCTGCCTGCCGCTGGCCCTTCGACCAGGCCAGCCCAGCCCCTCCCCTGCCCAGGACGCAGCCCTGGACCCGAACCTCCACCCAGGCCAGTCTCCAGCTGTGCCCGGTGTGCAGGAGCACATGCGGCCTAGGCACTCCAGCCCGGGGGGGCCCCCAGAGGCCTTTTGTGAGCCCTCAGGCTTGTCCCAAAGCTCGGGCTAGCGTGCCAGGCCCCACCAGGGGAAAAAGCTGCCCAGGGAGCCGCCAGGCCTCTCCTCTGCTTCCTGAGCCCGAAGCACTTCCAGCGCACCCTGCACTCCATTCTTCGGACAGCGCTCCTGCACACTTGAGTGGCTGGGTGGGCCAAAGACCCTCTCAGGACTTTCTCGGCACCAGTGCCTCTGTGCTAAGATTCAAACGGTCATTCCCAACTGCCTCTTGACCACCCACTTCCAGCCCGCTGAGCCACGGGGAGGCTTCACAGCCTACTTGCTAGACTGCCACTTTTTAAATAAAAGACACCTTTTTATTTCTCTGAGAACGGGGGAGATGCTGTCTGGGATAGGGCCAGGGCTCCAGCACTGACCAAATAGGGTTCCCAGCAGCCTGGGCTGCACCTCCCTTCTTCCCTCCCTGGCCCCACCCAAGCAGGAGCACATACTTTCTGTACAGACTGGGGGGGTTTCCTCAGAGTGAAATGACCCCGACCCCAGAACACTGAGCCTCAACGCAGCAAACGGAGGCCTGGCCCCTCCAGGCCAGGACCCAGCTCCACACCTGGCCTCAGTGCTGCAGGGGGTCACCCACCTGACTGGCCCAGCCTCAGCTTAGGTTTCTGACTGAGAGGGGGAGCCAGAAGTGCAGGCTGGGTTGGTTTCAGCAAGGGGGGTGTGAGGAAGGAAATTGGGGGCCCAGTGGAAACCACAAACAGATGGGCTCAGAGGGCTGCTTTATTGTCTCAGGAATGGGGCAGAGAGTGGGCACTGAGGGGGAGCGCCCCCCCTCCAGCGCGCGCGCGCACACACACACACACACACAAAACCACAAACAGATGGGCTCAGAGGGCTGCTTTATTGTCTCAGGAATGGGGCAGAGAGCGGGCACTGAGGGGGAGCGCCCCCCCTCCAGCGCGCGCGCGCGCACACACACACACACACACACATACACACTATCCTTCTGCTGGGCCATAGGGTAACCCACAGGGGGGCAGGGAGGTTCCTAAGGTTAGGGAACAACTGGGAAGTGACCACATGCTTTGCAGACACTGCAGCGGCTGTAAACACAGGGCTAAGGGCCTCCTTGCTGTGGAGCAGGCCCTCTCAGCCCGGGGAGCAGGTGCCCACCCCAGGGGAGGCCCAGAGCGGGCTGGGAGGCTGCTCCCCACAGGACTTAGTCACGGCACACACAGACACACACAGAGTGTGCACAGCGGGGAGCCTAGCTGGTTAGAAGATGGGGATATAGTTGTCGATCTTGGCGCGGTGGCGCTGGGCGATGCACTCGGCGATCCACACGATGTTGCGGCATTCCTGCTCCTTGAGCTTCACAAAGGCATAGAAGACGCCGAAGTGGAACTGGTTCAGGAAGGCCAGCTTGTTCAGCTTCACCTGGGGACAGAAGTGGACCTGACTAGGGCGGCCCAGGCCACCAGCAACTCCCCAGGTTGGGCACGCCCTGGGCGCCCTGCACGCACCTCATGCTCAAAGAAGCGGTCCTCCAGGGTCTTGTCTCCGGGGTTGCTGCCTGCCCCCTCAAAGAGCAGCTTGTACTCCTGGTTGGGGGACATGGGTCAGCACCCGGGCTGCAAGGGGTACCCAATGCCCAGGGGCACGCCAGCAGGGCACTCACCGGGTAGTAGTCGGCCACATTCTTCACCTGCTCATAGTCATCAGCCCGAGCCAGCTGGGCCAGGCCCTCCGGGTAGAGGCGCCCACAGTGCGGGAAGAGCTTGGCGCGGTCCTCCTTGGACAGCTCGGTGCCGAAGGAGTTGATAGTGATGATGAAGGCGCGGCGGTCAGCTTCAAACTGCAGAGCCGTGTGTCAGCAGCAGGGGAAGAGGAAGGCAGCGGCTGGTCAGGAGCAGGACAGCCCAGGGTAGATAGGCAGCAGGCAGGCAGGGACGCTAAGGGGCCTTACCTCCAGGATAGGACACATGGCGTCGGCCGTGGTGCCGCCCAGTAGCATGCAGAACTTGTAGAAGGACTCCAGATAGGCCTGTGTGGGGCGTGGGGTTTGCTTAGCCCAGACAGGGGGGATCGGTGGGGATGTTCAGGTCTCCCACTTCCTGCCCACTCCCCAGCCCCTCCATGACTCGTGCAAACACCACATAAGTGGGTCAACCAGGAACAACCACATGTTCCAGTTGCCAATTAGCCACAAGGCTGCTGCTCCCACTCATGAGTGGCTGGGCCAATTCTGGCTGGCGTCTACGGCCCACAGTGCTCAACTCTTCACCTAACGAGGTCCACCACCCTCGCCTTTTGCCCTGCCATCCTCCCTTCCAAATCTCCTGAACCCCCTCTTCCTCAGTCAGCCAGACCCACGGTGTCCACAAGTCCACGTGGACTCCAATGGCTGGAGTGGGTGATGCACGGGCCCCTGCCCCCTCTGTACTCTGTGTCTCAGAGAGCACCGCCTCCTCCCCAGCCCACACCACTCAGCACATCCAGACCACTGAGGGGAGCGACGGCCCATGTGCGGGGCAGTGGCTGGGCACTGGCTGCTAGGGGGGAGGTGGGGAGACAAGCACTTCTTGTCCAAGCGCATAGGGTCTGCTGGGCACAAAAGGCATGGGGCCCGCCCAGGCCTCCTCCTGGCACAAGCAGGCGTCCTGCCCCTTAAGTGCCAAGGAAACAGGTTTACCACCTCAGTGGAAGCCACGTGCATGGGCCCCTCCCTGCTCCCCGGCCCACAGAGTGGTGTACTTAGAGCACCGCCAGCACCATAGGCCAGATGGGGGGAGCACGGCCCTTTAAGGTATGCAGACTTTTCTGCCCACATCCAGCTGGTAGACAACCGGCTCTACTGTTCCAAAGAGGGAGATGGGGCGGCCCAGGAGCAGTGTGCAAGCTAGACTCAAAGGCAGGCTGGGAGTAGCCACCAGGGTGCCGGAAACAAAGGTCTAGGGCAGGTGAGGGAAGAGAGCACCTAGGAGGGGGACAATGGACTCCACCTAGCACAGAGGCAGCAGCCAATGCCACTGTGGCCTGGTGGTGCTGACCCGTCCCCCAAGAGGTCTGTCCCCAGCCAGGCTGGCTCTGCCTGAATCCTAAGGACCGTCCGTCCACAGGGTCTGCAGTTGCTTATCTGCGGAGGAAGCCACCAGCCAGGGCTTGAGACCTGTGCCCTGCCACCAGCCCATCTGCTTAGCCAGTCTCTGGAACGGCTGACCCCAGGCAGAGGAGTCGCTGGGACAGGCCCTGACCTTCCTTAGTTAGCTGAAGAAACGGCTAAGACCCGGGTACCAAGGTCACCCACCCCCCTGCCGGCTCCCCCCACCCCCTGGAGTCAGCCAGCCATGGCTGCTCCACCAGCTGCCTACCGTTCCCACCCGCCGACCAGCTGAGGGTCCGCCTAATCTCCCATCTGTGGCCACCAGGCTGGGACATTGTCTGATGGGCGGGAGGCCCTGGCACAGGGCCCACGGTCCCAGGTAGGTGTTTACGAGCTGGTGCCCGGGCAGCCCTCGCCAGCAACTCTAGTTGGAACCAGTCAGGCCTGGTAACGAGGGGGTATGGGGGAGGTTAGGGGCATGGCCGCACCCCTCACCAGTCTGAGGGCAGGTAGTCCGGCAATGGGCCAGCTGGGTGGGCGGGAGCTCCAGGAGCATGCATACACGCTCACATTGACATGCCCCCACTGGGCAGGCTGGCAGGCCTGCAGCCCTGGAGCGGTTGGGGTGGGGGGCACTGGCTTTGCAAACAGGCTGGGCCAGGGGTGAGTCCAGTGCACCGCCGTGTGGGGCTCTGGCGACCCCCCGACCCCCACTCCAGGGCCCTCATTTGCCTCGTTTTACGAACGTGTGGTCGTTGCTGGCCCCTTGCTCCTCCTGGGACTAAAGGAGTCGGCGACCATCCTGTCCTCTGATGCACTCTCCACACAATGGTCAGAGTGGGACGGGTGAAGGCTCAGCCGGCTGGGACCGTACCTTCTGCCCCAACTTTAGACACTGCCCACCGCCGCCTCCTGGCTGCCCTCTACTGCCGCCACTCATCTAGAACCTGTACTTGAGCCCCAGTGGAACAGTCACGCGCCATGGGCTGGGGCGCCATGCTCACCTTCTGCGAGGGTTATACCACTGCCTGGGTCACAGCAGCCTCTGGGTGGGCCCTTCCCTGAGCCCTACCCGGCCCAGGCTGCTGCCCGGCATCCACCAGCTAGCTCCAACCTTGGCAGGAAAAACCCCTCTCAAAAGATCTCCTAGCTGAGCAGAGTTAGGTAGGCAGATTCCTTGGCCGGTGCCACCCACGGCCCCTTTGACAGGGGCGCACTGCTGACGCAGGCTCTCGGTGCAGCCCCTCAGGTCAGGGGTCCCTGCGTGTGTTCACCATGGCCAGAGCCCTTCCTTGGCTCCCACCTCCTCGCCACCTCTCAGGGCCAGGGAAGTGCTAACCCTCTATCTCTGGGGCCCCAGCCTGTGCCCCAGTCTGGTGGGAAGTTGAAGGTGGGTGGGTGGGAGAGGAAGTCAGTGGGAAGTGGCACTGGCTCTGGCCTGGGGAACCTGAAAGGGACCTGGGGACCTAGCAACACTTGCAGGGGGCCTATCGCTCTTTAACTGAACAGCCTGTGGCCTTTGTTCCACTGCCTGTCCTTGCTGGTCACCGTACAGGTGAGGTGGGCCCCAGGGGCGCTGGCCTGGGTGGTGGCCCGTGACGCTCCTGAGCCCAGGGGAGCAGCTGTCCAGGAGCCAGCTCTGACAGGCCAGCCTGAAGCAGCAGCCCCTCCTGTGATCTTATCTGGCCCTGCTGCGCTGCAGGCGCCACAGGATGGAGAACCTGTTCCAGGCAACTGCGCCCATCACTGAAGCTGAGAGGGAGTGGCAAAGTCCCGGGACAAAACCCTGGTGTGGCTACATCCTGTCCCACCACCCCACCTATCTACAAATGGTTCGGGCTCGGCACTGTACCTTGTAGAGCGTATTCCGGATAATCTCGATGTTCATCTCATCCAGGTCCTGCTCTGAGATGCAGTCCTGGAAAAAAGCCGCTGGGCAGCCAGGGGAAGGGTGTCAGGGTGGGCAGGTAGACTTGGCCTAGGTGAGCAGCCCCAGCACAGCCCCGTCTGGCTAGGACCGGGGGTGCACCAGGCGGTGGGGGGTGGGGGTAGGCGGGAGACACTCAACCAGTCCCGGGCCAGTCCTTTGGAAGTGGCAGACATAAGGCTCTGGGCCGTGTGGGCTGCCTGGCCTGTTTCTGCCTCCTTCTCCTAAAATTGATTTACAAAGAGGCGGCTAGCCACGGCATGATCTAATGCCGCTGGGGGGGGGGGGGGGGCAGACCCAGCACAGCCCATGCCAAAGACAGGCTTGCATAAGATGCCAGGACACCCTCCCTTTGGGGGCGGGGCGGGGGGGCAGCTGGGAATTGGGGGCCTGAAGCCTGCTGCTCCACATCCCCCAGGAGGGCCTGGGGCCTACAAGGAGAGAAGCAGCCTCCCCTCCGTAGGACAAGGGATGAGTCCAACAGTTGGCAGGCGTGGACCAGTGACCCAAGTGCCTGTCAGGCTGGAGGTGGAGGCTGGAGTGGGACCGAGCCTGCTCGCCCCGGGGCCTGCAGACCCACTAGCCTGCCTCCTCTCTAAAGACAGAAGCTGAAGACACCTAGAACCCAGAACCAACTGCAGCACAGAGTGCCATGGTTTAACCTGGGGCTCCCTGGAGGCAGTGCCTTGGGGGACAGGGCTCTGTGTCGGAGGACACCAGCCAGGTAAGGCCACAGTGCCAGCATGTTCTAGGGAGGCCCTGCAGGAAGTCCCTGGCTCCCCTTCCATCCTGATCTCCAATGTGGGGCCTGCCCAGGGGAAGCCAAGTGGAGCTGTGTGCCCCTTTCCTGGCATCCAGGGTAGCCAGTCACTCCAGCCCTGCACAGGCTGTACCCCAAGGGACCCAGGCTTTTACTCTACTCCCATGAACTCAGTCTCCCTCTGCATTCAGAGAAACCAGAGCTGGACAAAGCTGGACCAAGTAAGGTCACCAGAGGCTGGCTTGGCTGGCCCAGCAAACACACAGGAAAAGCTAAGGGGAGGGGCGTGGAGGGAGGAGCCAGGTATGCAGTAGACAAGCTTCCCCTTTCAGCTCAGGGTCACCCGCCCCTTAGGGATCCGAGACCTCCATGGAGGCCCCACAGGCCCTTCTCCAGCCTAGTGGCTCACCTAGAGGAGTGTCCACCAGGATGGCGTTGTAGAGCTCGGCAGGGGTCTGCGCTATGTTCACCGCCTCCATCTGCTCAAAGCTGCCTAGCGGGTGGCATTTGGGCACCAGCTCAGAGATGGAGCGCTGGTGCAGTGTGCCCGTGATGAGCAGGATGACATTGTCGATCATGTAGCTGTAACTACAAGCACAGCCACCCGTCAGCAAGTCCTGGCTTCCCCACGCTGCTATGCTGCCGGACCCAGCAAAGCTGCTTCCAGTCAGTACCTGGGGCATCTCTCCCGGGCCATGGCCCCATCCTCACATCAGGGGCTAAGGATAAACTGAACCCTCTGTGTGTGGGGAGAGGCATCCCGGCACCCCCAGGGGTTTCTCAGTGAGTACTTTCCCGAAGGACATGGGGAGCTGGAGCACACGTTGGGGGCCGGGGGCAGGTACCTGAGCAGTCACAGGACCTCAGGAGGAAAGGGTGCAGTTCAGCTCTGGCAGCACTGAGTGCGGCCCTACTCAGGATTCCAGGGGCAGAGGGCAGTGCTGGTGTGTGTGTGGGGCGGGGGGGTAGCAGAGGGGGGCCAGGGGCTTCTGGCATGGTCCTATGGGCCCCACTTTAGTGGCCTGTAAGCAAGGAGTGTCACGGTCTAGTTAAGGTCACCCAGGCTGTGGCCAAGTAGAGTGGGAGAGCTTTCAAGGAAGAGCCAAGAGGGAGGCAGCCCCTGCAGAGCCCTACTCCCCAAAGGGCAGACCACCCTCACCCCTTTGGCAGGGCCCAAAGCCAGGGCCAGCCTCAGCCTAGGGTGACGTGGAGGAGACCCTGGGGCTGGGGCTGCCTGTGGCTCTCTGCCCACAGGCCAGCCAGAGAGGTGAGTGGGCAGCAGAGGGGGCTGTGGAGTGGGTCAGAGTGGGGCTGCCTCAAAGGGACCAGGCTCAGCCTGGAGGCAGCAAGGGCTTCTTGCTGGGGCTGAAGTCGATGTCAGCGAGGTTGCCTAGGTGGAGCGTGTAGGAAGTGGGCAGAGGGCCCAGGGCCCAGGTAGGCAGCAGCAGTCCCTGATTTCTTCCAGCCTCTACTAGGAGATGAACGCTGGGACCAGGGAGCAGATGAGACCCACAAGGAACTATTCCCAAGGCCAGGGGCCCCCATGGAAGAGTGGGAACTGGGGCCAAGGCTGCTGCCCTCTCTCAGCACCCAGTACAAGCCCCACCCCTGCTCTTGTGTGGCTGAGAGAAAGCCTCTTGGGTAGCTAGTGCTGAGGGGCCCAGGGAAGATCCCTGGAGGGAAGC